TAGAAGTATTTACAATGCTAGCGAGCTACAATTCAGCAAACAAGAGAACGACGACCTCATGTCCTAATATCTCTGTGGCTCAATGGACCCTCTGTAAAATGGGCACAGGAATCCTGCTTTACAGGGGTTGTGTGAGGTTTACTGTTTGTAAGACACTTGGAGATCCTTGGATGAAGCACAACACAGTATTAACAACACAATGGGGCCTCACATTCAGAACTTCACCACTTAAACCTATTTCCTGCTATGAGCACTTGATCGGCTGGTTAGTGGGTGAAACCACATTACCACATAAGGTTAAAAAAATGTCAGCATGTATAAAATCATAGCACAGCACATTGCCAGTTGTGTACACACATCTCGATACCAAAGCTTGTCACACAGACAAAAGAAAAAGGAATCAGATTCTGCTCCACATTTCACCAGTGTAAAACCAGCGTAATGCCACTGATTTCTTCTGGATTTACACCAGTGAAAATGAGAGCAGAATTTGGCCACTGGTGATTATAAATCAGATGGGACAAAACAACAGACGTCGAGGGATTTCACCAGACCTGACATAGGAGACCAGTCTAGGAGCAGATGTCAATCTGAATGTCCGAGCACATCATTCACATGGATTCTTGCCCTGCCCGTTCTCCTCCATCAGGAGGATCCCTCTAGGGTTCCCCACAGGCAGCCTCACTGACCTAGCCTCAGGAAGGGGGTGGGGGCAGCATTAGTATGTGACTAGAGTGGTGTCTACACTGTGTTTTAAAACCCACAGCAGCGAGTCTCAGGGTCTACAGACTAGGGGTTGTGCTATGGTACTCAAAGCAGCTGCGTAAACGCTGGGCTGAAGCAAGGGTTCTGAAGCCCAGGGTGGGGGGAGGGTCAGAGCCCAAGCTTCAGCACGAGCAGCAACATCTACAGTGTTGATTTTAGCACCACAGCGCAAGCCCTGAGTGCCTGAGTCTGTAGACTCATTCTCACTGCCATGGTTTTAAAATGCAGTGTAGACATACCCTCGGTGCCACAGCAGCCCTCCTGGCAGAGACTGATGAAGGGATGTACTGAATCAATGTTTCACTGGCTGCTCTGCCCAGGACCTCGTCCCAACCAGCAGATCCTTCCACCTTCTGGGCTGCACTGGTCATCACAGACCCTTTGGCTGCTTTCTGTCACCAGTACCTTCCCGGCAAGCAGGCTAACCAGTTCAGGGACCCTGTGGATGGGTTTCCTCTGATGGATGATGGCATGAGCCCAAGCTAACTCTGGCCCCAGGAGCATATGATATGGGTGAAATCCTGCCCTCCCCCCACCCCAAAATCAATGGCTAAACTCCCAGGATTTCACCCTATGTGTTTTAAGATATTCATCCTGGACCTGATTCAGCAAAGCATGGAAGCATGTGCCTAACTTGAAACATGGACCTAAATCCCATTGACTTAATGTGACAAACATGTACTCAAGTGAAGAGATGGTTGGGAATTTTCCATCAAAAGGGTTTTTCTATGGAAAATGTGGTTTCACAAAATTAAAAATTTTCCACAGGAAAACTTCAATTCTGCCAACATTTAAAGAAAAAAAATTTCTTTCAGGAAAACCGAAACATTATTTTGTTTTGGATCAGGCTGTCCTGAATTGAAAGATTTTGATTTGTTGAAATGACCTGAAATGTCTTGTTCAATATTAAACTTCATTTCCCTGTGGCACTGAAGCAAACGAACCTATTCACATGATTAAAGTTACTCATGCACTTAAGCACATTTCTGGACTGGAGGTTTCACTTTTAGCCCATCTACTCTTTCCACCAGTGTCTTCGCTCCATTGGTCTTAAAGCTACAAGTGCCTTAACAGTTTGTTTATTAAAATGCATTTACCCTCTGCTTTCTCTCAAATTTAATTTCAAATCCCGTCATCCGGCTGTGGCATGATTCAGTTATCTTGCTCATTCCGGTGGGGTAATTTGCAGTTTTGGATGGTAATTTAAAAGTAATTATGCTCAAACCGGCTTTTCTTTTCTTAATCTTTTCTTGTGGGGGGGGAGAGGGCAGGAAGAAATGCTTCAAAGCTTCAGAAATAGCTTTGGGGACTTCCTCTTTTGGACGAGGCAATCCAAATGGGAAGTTGGGAACCTGCCAAACATTTATAGAAATGGTAATTTTTAGCTTTGAAATCTTCCAGTGTTTAACATGTAAGCAAAGTCATATTAGTCTGTTAAAAACATGGGCCCAGTTGTGCAGGGCCTGAATGATGTGAGTAAGCCTTGTTGGTGTGAGGAGTCCTAACACTTATTTTCACAAATCCCTCAGCGTAAGCGTCGTGTGGTTGTCTTCTCTAGATTTAGTCCAGTACCAGGCACACCGATGGGGCTGAATAAATAATGAACAATCATAATTCACAAGTGTTGTCCGTGTCAGCGGACTGAGCCAAGTCCTTACACGCCAGATACAGTTTTTAGTTTGGCTGGCTGTGGAGTCTGGGCTAAATCCGTTAACTTGAAGTAAATAGTGAGGAAACGCTCATGGCGAATTATAGGATTGTTGTTAAAGCTGCTTTTTAAACATGTGACCACATTGCATAACAAATAATCGGGATAAATTAAACAGTGAGGACATTGTTACACATGGATGAAAGCACGCTACTCATGTTCAGCCTCTTGTTTATGTCCCTTTTAGAGGAAAAACACAACAAGGATAGGGAAGAGCTACGATCTAGAAAAATGAATTTGATCCCTACTACATTTAATTTAGTTTTGTTTTTAACCCCAGCCTTTTTCCCCAGTCCAAGTGAAATGTCAGAGTTCGGTCATAAGGTCACTGCTCCTCCACACGGAGACTTTAGCTCAAGATTGAAAGTATCATTATTCATGGAAGATGTTTCACACGTTGAAGCACAAAACGATGAATAGGTGAAATAGAGGCACAGATCTTTTTGATATGCACTGCATTTTAATTAGTCCTTTGCTCTCTCTTGGTGCCATGTGGGTGGGGTGGGGCAGGAGAGCTTGCACTGCTGCTACTTTTAGTAGGTATTAGGAACAACTTTCTACAGCTAAGGGTAGTTAAACTCTGGAATAGGCTTCCAGGAGAGGTTGAGGGGTCCCTGAGCTGAGTGTGGGGGTGGGGGTCTCTAGGTGCTGTTGTAATACAGAATCATATTTGAAAGCCACTAAGTGTTGTTTATTGCTTTAAGTGAATGTAGTGCCGCCAGTGGAGGTGTTTAAGAACTGGTTGGACGGACACCTGTCAGGGATAGTCTCTGTATATTAGACCTCAGTGCAGGGGGCTGGACTTGATGACTTCTCAAGGTCTTTTCCAGCCTTACATTTCTAGGATTCTGTATTACTGCAGATCCTTGAGACCCCTTCTTAGATTGGGGCCCCATCTGGTTACGTGCTGTACGGACACAAAGTAAGAGCAAGTTCCTGCCCCACAGAGCTTCCTATGTAAATAAACAAGGCTGATAAAGGGTGGGAGGTGAAATAGAGGCACAGAAAGGGGCAGTCACTTGTCCCAGGTCACACACAGAGCAGGTCACTGGCACAGCTGGGAATAGAAGCCAGGTCACCTGAGCCCCAGTACTCTATCCATTGGACCACACTGCCTCTAAATACCAAACATGCCCTGAAGACAGACAGGGGACTGCAATCTTCAGGGATGCCAGGTAATATGCACTGTATTCACTTAAAGCAATGAACAATGCCTACTGGCGTTGTCCAATAGGGTGCCAACGTTTAATCCACGTGCAAAGGTGTCTTTATTCCTCTTGTGAATTAATCCTGGATGCATTTGTGGGGGTGGGAAAACCTTCTTGGCAATTCCTGACCCTTGAGTGCCTGACCGTGTGCCTTTAATGTTCCCTTATCAGATTCATAAGGAATTTCCCAGGTTGTAGTTTGGGGTTGTTGGGTTTTTTTGGTAGATGAGGGTACGAGGCGGGGAGAGAAACCCATGAAACGAGGAAGCAGCAGCTTCACTCTGCAGGACTTGAAAGCTCACCTGGCTGGCAGGAATTGGCAATGGCGGGTGTCAATTCCATAATCAGGAACTGTTCGGCTCAACACCGTCAGAAAGCACTTTCCTGTGCACCTTAAGAGGGATACCCTCTCCTGAGCCCTCACGAGGTCTGCTGGAGAGCGGCAGAGCAAAGGTACAACCGTGCAAGTGCAAGCCCAGCTCACTAGGACTCCCTAATCCCTTTGCACTTTACAAGACCCATGGGCTTTTCACTATGGTCTTGATTGTCCCTAAGTCTGTGGGTGCAGGGGGTAGTGGATGCCATAGGCCCATGCCAGCCCTTGCTTGTAGCAGGTGGGCAAGGATAGGGCAGGGTGTGATTACAGCCTTGACTTTGTCCCCACAAAACTTTGTCCAGCTGAGCCGGCACAGGGGTGCAAACCTTTGCTGCTGAGTTAGGCTCAGGAGCAAGAGGGAAGCACAGTACAGCCCTCCTTAGCTTCCTTCTCCTATGCTGAAAACTGATCATTTATTTCTACACTTTGTTTTCTGCCTTGTTAGTGATCTGATCCATGGTAGTGTTTTACCCATCATCTGGTGACTACTTAGTTTTCTTAACAGCCTCCTTTATTGACATGCTCCAAGAATTCTAATGGCTTAGTGAGGCATGATTTTCCTTTCCAGAAGCTATCCTGGTTTGTTCCTATCCAAACCTTTTCATCTATGTGTTTTATCATTCTATTTTTATCCCTTCAGAGTAGAGCTCTCAGTCTATTATTAAGCAATTTACCTCTGTCTCTCTCATGTATCTATTCAAAATACAGTATAATATGGTATCTTATTGCAGTTTGGGCTATTGTATTCAACGGGAAATAAAAGTACTCATGCCACAAATCCTAGACAGAATTAACTACAGTTTCCTACATCATACATAGGTATTGCTATTTGCTCACTCAAATTTCAACTGAAAGAACTTTTACCTGACAGAAAACATGGCAGGCGCCTAAAAGAAATATTTTTATTTAATAAAAATAAAAACCAATCAAACGTAGGACTTACATATGAACCATAATCCACTGCTAGAGTCTGCAGAGCCCATGGGAGACCCAGGCCAATTAAAATGTCAAAAACATTACTTCCAATGGAGTTCGACACAGCCATATCCCCCATGCCTGCAGAAACAGGAAACCGGATACAATCAGTCGTTTCAGTAAAGGCTTCTTGCTCTTCAGCAAGAATATCTGCATCTGAATTACTCCTGACTCTGCATAGATTAACACTAGCTAGATTTGGCCTCTCTTTATAACTGATGCTCATTTCTTCCAAAAAATAATGGGCATACTGGGAAAGCGTATGTTTCACTAAGAAACATCCTCTTGGCCTCCTAAAGCAGTATTGCCAACTCAGTTTTTCTTAAAGCTCCAGCTTCTGGAGTCATGGGAAATCTGTTTTAATTAAAAATAACTTTCCAGCCCTCCTGGTTGCAGAGAAAAGCTGGAGAAAATGACTCAAGTGCCCCCAAAGTCTCAGAAACCAAAAGGCAAATAAACAGAAGCCCAATTAAAAAAAAATCCTTAATTTTCAAGTTAAACATATTTTTTTGAGTGCTTGGCATTGGCTATGCTGCTAAAGCAGGGTCCAGATTCAGTAATGGCCTTTTACTATCATATGTGATGGCAAGTTAGTTCTAGGACAGGGGTAGGCAACCTATGACACGCGTGCCGAAGGCGGCATTCGAGCTGATTTTGAGTGGCACTCACATTGCCCGGGTCCTGGCCACTGGTCTGGGGGCTCTGCATTTTAATTTAATTTTAAATGAAGTTTCTTAAACATTTTAAAAACCTTATTTACTTTACATACAACAATAGTTTAGTTATATATTATAGACTTATAGAAAGAGACCTTCTAAAAACGTTCAAATGTATGACTGGCACGTGAAACCTTAAATTAGAGTAAATAAATGAAGACTCGGCACACCCCTTCTGAAAGGTTGCCGACCCCTGTTCTAGGACAATCTTCTGTTCTCTCTGCAAATATTAAATTTTAAATCAGCGTTGATTTCACTCCTCAGAACCACTCCCTGCTGCTCCTTTGGACATATTAGTAAGCCACTAAAGTGGCCCTCCCCAAATGTTAAGTGGAACCAACACAAGACTCCAAGGGCCAGTTCCTCTGTTCTAATAGAGCTATGAGAATTTCCACCAGCTGATGATCTGCCTCTAGAGGCATAAGAACCGGAAAAAGACAGAAGGACAGAGGCTGTTCTATCTCATCTGTGTCATGCCCCTCTGCCCATTCTGCCCTGCCCAGAGAATAGCTCTGGAAACCTATGGTTCTGAATAATAGAGTGGATGTCCAAAGGCTGCAATGGCTTCAAGTAATTATGCCTATTACAGATCTGTTGGAGTCTTATTTGAAACCCTTACGTCATGCCACATCTTGGAAACCCTGTATTACAGAACCTGAGTAGCAGGCACACTAAACATCATGCCCATTTTTCCAGTTGAGCTGGTAAGGGTGAGCTGGGGAATGCTCATGTCCTGCCCTTCAGCCCCAGCTTGGTTTTTTTCAAAGCTTGGACCCCCTGAGAATAGCATCTGTACACCTCAGGGAAGATGCACTTCCATATCATCCCCTTTATCGGGAAAGCTTATCTGGAGGCTAGCAATCCATACTTCCTCTGTACCTCCTTACAAGGCAGTGGACGCGTAGGAGATGCTTTACATCCATGTTTGCTGATATAGGAGGCAAACCTACCTTGTCTTGCTACTATAAGGCTAGCCATGCAGTCCGGTACGCTGGTGCCAGCTGCCAGGAATGTGATGCCCATGATCACATCTGGAATACCCAACGTGTAGCCAATGATCGTAACCTAAGGAAATAAATGGAATTGTCAAGAGGCTTAAATTCATTTAAAACCTAATCAAACTTGTCCCTACGTTGCAATATGTTCTGGGTCAGTTTCTATAACTAAGTTGGATGGTGATGCAAAAGAACTTTTTTAAAAGGGAAAATTAAGAGACGGAGGGGTTTAGTGGGCAGGGCAACTGGCATAGGATCAGGAAACCTGAGTTCTATTCCCCGCTCTGCCACTGACCGTTGACAAGCCACTTCACCTCACAAGGCCTTTCGTTTCTCTACGCCCTTTATCTGCTGTGACTATTTGAACTGTAAACTACTTGGGGCAGGGACTGTCAGTACGGTGCCTAGCACAACAGGGGCCTGATCTTCACTAGGTTTTTTGCCTTCCTCTTCAGCATGGGGCACCGCTCACTTGCAGGTTTAAACTAGCATAAATGGTGGATTCTCTGGGCTTGTCTACACTTACATTTTATAGCGCTCTAACTTGCTGGCTCAGGGGTGTGAAAAATCCCCCCCCCACCCCGAGTGCAGCAAATTTGAGTGCTTTAAAGCATTAGTGTGGACAGGCTCCAAGCGCTAGGAGCTATTCCCCTTGTGGAGGCTGGTTACCAGGAGTTCTGGGAGAGCTCTCTCCCAGTGCTCGCACCTGACCACACACACACTTCAAAGCACTCCCGCAGCAGCACTTTGAAGTTTCTAGTGTAGACGTAGCTTCTGTCATTTGAAGTCTTTAAATCATGATTTGAGGATGTCCTTAACTCAGCCAGAGGTTAGGGGGCTCTTACAGGAGTGGGTGGGCGAGGTTCTGTGGGTTGCGATGTGCAGGTCAGTCTAGATGATCATGATGGCCCCTTCTGGCCTTAAAATCTATGAATTAGAGCCATTAGGCATTACTATAATACAAATAATAGTTAAATAATTATATCATAAGCATATTGTATTCAGGGGTATAGCCTCAAGTCAGTGCAGGCAACTTAACACAAAGGAGATACTGCTAATCATATTTCGGTATGCATGTTACAATCTATTAGTGTTCTTGAATCACTATGCATTTTGGAACGTTGAAAGCTCTTGCTTAACACAGAACTTATCAAGTTACACTAGCGGTCATATCTGCCTGCAAGGAGGGACATAAAAAAGTTCAGTTCAGGATAATACTTGATTTCCATGCTCTCTAAAATGTAGTCTAACAAATTTGAACCATATGTTATAAGCAACCCAGAGATCCTGTGTCTTCTGGTATTCCAGCTTTGGAAAGCTTGGACAGGTACTCGTTCTTAAAAACAGTTCATTCTCTCAAATGAACATTTGGGGGGACGGGGGAGACTAGTCACTCTCCATTTCCTGTTTAGGGAATTAAGGCTCTCTTTAAAATTTCTTTCGCAAGATTTTGGCTTGGCTCTGAGAGAAAACCCTGACCTTAATTTTGTATTCAGTACAGGAGTTAACTGTGCATGGACTGGAAGATTTTCTCTAATTTCTGATCTCAAGTGAAGAAGGCCTGTTCAGTTCTTTAGAAATAGATTAGATGTAGTTCTGTAGTTCTAAAATGAGAATAAGTGGTCAAATGCTCAGATGCTCAGTCACAAGTGCATAAGCTCTATTCCAAGTTCCCCCAAACCTTCTCTGCACCCCATGACTGTTTGGTTTTTCCTCAAGACAGCTGGGATTGGAAAGGAAGCATGATCCATGCTGCATTGCTGGCATTATTATAACTGGGGCTTCAGAGATGTTATCACCTACCCAATTGTCTAATGAGGCTTGCAGCAGCTTAATGAACTAACAAGCACACGGGACTGTAATTGCAGAGAATAAGCCAATTACATTTGGATGGCTTCTGTTCATTTTATTGATCCCCAACCACCTTTTAAATAACAAGATAGGAACTACTTAATCTATTTCTATTGAGTAGAGCAGTAATGCAGCAACAGGCTGAGTTTCATGGCTTACCATGCGCAGGGGCTGGGCTGTAGCGTTTGTCAGCCCTGCCTTTCAAACCTGCCTACTCCATGGAGAAAGAGAGAGAAAGCAATGAAAGAGCCTGATTCTCATTTGCACTAAGGCCGGTCTACACTATTCTGGTGGTAACGTGGCCTTAAATTGTGTGTAAGTGGAATTTACTCCCAAATTAAAAACCTGGGGCAAAATTCTGGCCCCAGTGACATCAATGGGAGTTTTGCCCTGACTTCAATGGAGCCAGCATTGGAACCCCCCACAAGAAGGGGCTGTAGTATAAATGGGAACTGATGCTGATGGAAAGGCATTGACCTCAACAGACTCTGGACCCAGCCCCGAGTCAGCTCCCCACCCGGCTCGATACGTACCATCCACACCATCACGTAGGATAAGGCTGCAATCCAGAGGGTAGAGGAAGCAAAGGTGACCATGAACCATTTTTCCCAGTAGGGCTTGTTGCAGTTGGGCACCGTGAAGTGCAGAAGGAAGCTCAGCGGCCAGGTGAACAGCCACTTCAGGATTTCCATTTTGCCAGCTGCCAAAAACAAAAGGGGACAACCATACATCTCTGCCCCATCCTCTCCGCTTGAATCCCGAGCAGGGTTTATTCCGTGTATTGTGCTTACAGCGAGACTGCTGACCCCCCAGCAAACACATAACAAAGAGGCAGTCCTTGCCCAAGAACATACAAGCTGAGGATAAGACAAGGGGCAGGGAGATGCAAGGAGACTGAGACGATCCCGATTACTGGGATAAGCCATGGTCATAGCACATCAGCTGCCTAGCTGCTGTCAAGTATTTTGTATCACAGTATCACAGAAGAAGAGAGTTTTAAGGAGGGATCTGATCTAGTGCCCTGGCTCACAGAGCCTTCTGATAGCATTCTTAGAGCCTTCATTTTCCCCTGCTTAAGCACCACCCTCCTACTACAGCTTGGCTTTCTGAGTGAGTAGCCCTGGAAAAGGACTTGCTGTGAAACTACTCTGTATTTGGCAGGAGCAGTCTCTTATAGGGGCTGAGTATGCTGGCTAATTTGCAGCACTCCAGGTCTGTGTGTGCCTAGGGTTGTCACTCATCACAGATTTATGGAATTCATCCCAGTTTTCAAAGGGCCAATCCTGAGCTGGCACACCTAGTACTAGGGTGTTAAAGGGTGGAACTGATGTAACTTCTGCACCCACACAGTGTTACTGCATGCTGGTAAAGGCACAGTAACAGGGCAGCACTGCATCATGAGGTGACACTAGGATGTTGGCAGCCCTGGGAAGATGTCAAAGTGGGGAACAAGAGACCAAAACTGGAAAATAAACCCCAAATGTGCCCACTTAAGGCCCATCTACACTGCCGGAGTGGTATAAATGACTCTCAAGACTTTAGGATATTGAACATAATGGGCCAAAAGCTCATTTGCACTAAGACCCCCTTATATCTCTCTGGAAGTATAAATGGGGACATAAAATAGGAGTAAACCATATTCACACACACTTGAATGCCCCTTTATACAGCCAGAGGAGCGTAAAGGGGACTTGGTGCAGTTGAGAACTAGGCCCTGATGTCTGGTTCACCATTGTCCTGCATCTTGTGTAGTTGTTTATACCAGTGCAAAGTGATGATAAAATGCAACTGTTCTGACTGTTTGTGCAGTCCAGGTGGACTACGGAGCTCATCGTGGGCGCATCGACACTAGGAATAAAGGTTTGTTCTTCCCTCATGTTAGTGAGCTAGTATAAAAGGGGGTTAACATGTCGAGGTAGATGTAGGCCCTAGGCTCCCCTATACTTTTAACCTGCTATCACCTGTTAAAACGACACACTGCCTTGTCTTCACTAGGATTGAACCTAACATGAGGAAAAATCCTACTGAAGACAAGGCAGGGTGTAGTTTTTAAAGGTGTTTACGTTGACCTGTTAACACCTGTTAATAATACCACTGCCTTGTCTTCAGTAGGCTTTCACCATGTGTTGTTACCAGGTTTTAGATAACCCAGATAAGAACACACCTTTTTCCTAGTCCAGACAAGTCTTAGCAATTACAGCAGCCTGGTTGGGTTCTGTCACATTCCATTCTATTGTTATTTCCATCAGAGGGGAGGGGGCCTTATCTATTTAAACCAGATGGACACAATCCCATTTCAGCAATGATGAGGTATTAAACTGTAATGGGGTTATCAGAGAAGCACCTAGAATTTCAAATGTAACTGTCATGCTGTTTGGTGTTTTCAGAGTTATACTGAAACAAGGAAAGCCCAGGAGCTTCTTACAGGGTAGGTCAAAAGGAGTGTAAGGTCCATCATTATCATCCTCCTCTTCCTCCTCTTCCTCATCATTCTCGTTGTTCTCATTGTCCTCATTCTCGGTCTCATTTCCAGCCTCAGCCATGTCCTCGTCTCTTCGGGTCCCATTCACGCCCCTTTCAGTGGAGTTGCTGGGGCCTGTCCCGTTCTCCAGGGCGTGCTTGATAGGAATTTTGATAGCCACTTCCGATTCCCCATTGGTGTAGGCTCTGCTGTTTATCAGCCTTTGCCTCTGGAAACAGAGTTACAAAGTCTTGGTGAAAAAGAGATGATAACAAAAATAAGGAGAGATCTGAAGAATTTGGTAAAAGCAGGTTTTCAAAAATATGGCGCCAGATCCTCAACTGGTGTAAATTTGACATCTACACCTGCTGCGGATCGGACACAAATACTATCATTTCGGTAAATGAAGGACCGAGTATACGGGAATCTAAAACAGATTGACACGGAAAGCACGGGCCATATATTAATCCAGTCTACTGAAGTCAGTGGAATTACAGTGTTTGTAGAATCAGCATAAGTGAGATCAGAATAAGACCAATGTCTGGGAGCATCTTCTCCTGGGGGCGGCTGTGGGGAGGGAAATGGAACTCTTCTGCCATTTAGTGTGATCTGGTACATTGTGTGGAAAAAGCGTTCTCTTCTGGTATCTCATCAGGGAATAGTGTCAAGGGATGGCTTAGCAGCACACTTGGACAGGGGTGAGGAAGATGAGAAACTCCATCAGAGCACAGACATGTCTGTCAGTCAGTCTCCCTTCAGTCTGAAGACTGCTGTGGCAGTAGAGTTCAGGATGGACACGGACTCGGGCTGAGGAGCAGGGAGTAACACGTACCTCGTTGATCAACATGCGACTGGCCATGGAGAGACGGGTTTTGGGAGGGAAGTGGCTGGTGATCATTATCCGGAGCCCAGCCTCAGAGAAGGAAAGCTGGTGTGGGTAGGCAGACAGCAGCTCGTCCACCATGATCACCGAGGCTTTACGACGGAAATTCCCTGCAGAGAATTAACAGAGAAAGGGGTGAGGTACCTTGCTTGCTGATCCAGTGGCCCCTCTCAGAATGAGAGAGTTCTACAATCCTCCCTCTTTTCAAAGCTAGCAGCCCGAACAGTCAACTTTGCATTAGAGCAACAGGTTTTCCATCCTTTTTTCACTCTGCAAGCCACCGCATAAGAGAGCGACCCTTTCCTCTCAGCACCCTAGCCCCAAGGAGCTTAGGAACCATTTGGCAAGAGTGGCCCAGGAAAGATGACCTCTATCTCCCACCCCACAGTACATGGTTCTCAAAAGGTTGAATTCAGTGAACCATAAAGATTCGTGGGCCCAGGGTGAGACACTCAACTTCAGACACTGGCATCAAAAGGGCCTCTTCTCTCATTCATTTCTGTCCTTGAGCAACCGGATTTTGAAATAAATCTCTCACTTGGCCCATCATTGAGGCTTTTCATTGCAAAATCTAACCTACTCTCAAGAATTTATCACACACTTCCTACACACAATGATTACACACCAAAGAGCAGATGTCCCAGTGCAGTAGATGCCATCTGGTGCTTAGGCCTGTGGTACTGGCTGCATTGATTCCAAGAGCCTAATCTTTACGTGCACGAGGATATAATCCTCACCCACCATTTCATCATGTATTGGGGCAGGTAGCTTTTGCTGTGTATCTGCGGCGCAATACGGGAAATTCAATGCAGGTTCTTGTATCCTTGGGCAGTGCGCTTCTGTGTTTGCACAGATCCTAGCACAATGGGGTTCTGGCCACAATTAATAACTATTATTATTGTTGTTTTATCCATATTGCCACAAAGAACAATATATTCTCAGCCTTAACTCATCAAGGAAACATTTTGCCTGGGTATTCGCTTTGTTTTTACTGAAGTGGGAAAAGATGTTGTTTTTATGCTAGTATAAACCAAAATGACGGAACTGTTGTCACTTGAAACTTTTGTCAAAGCTGTATTTCAAGAATGGCGCTCGCGGGAAACACAGCAGACCCACGGGGCTTTCGATTTTCGGGCAGAACTCGGGCATTAATCAAAATGATCCAATAAGATTTCACAGTTCAAAATACAGAATGACTCTCATATTTCAGTGTGTCCAGAAAAGCAGAGGCTGAGAAAGTGACTAGAAACCCGAGACCCTTGCAATAGAATTGCAGTCCAGCGTATGATGTATTATTGGCGCACCTAGGAGCCCTAGTCATGAAACAGCGCCCCCTAGTGCTAGGCACTTTACAAACACAGAACAAAAACACAGTTCCTGCCCCAAAGAGTTTCCTGTCTAAACTGGTAAAAACAGTGTGGTGTGCGAGCTAATACTTCAGATTAGCGTGTGAAACAACACTGGAGATTTACTGTCAGTCATTTGTTGGCTACTAGTGGCCAATTGCCAGATAAACTTTGAAACTGTTTTCAAAAAGTGAAGAAACATCTCTTCTCTCAAATGACTTGTCCGAGTAACCACAAAGTTTCAAAACAAAAAAGCTATCCAGACACGAGAAATGTCATGCAAAAAAGGAAATATTTGTAAAGAAGTGTGCGTAAACGAATCCATAACCAAAACTCTCTGATTTGTGTTAGTAACCCTGATGTCAGCTACCTGAATGACTAAGGCCTGGTCTACGCTTAATTTTTTTTCTGGCCTAACTATGTCAGTAAGGGGTGTGATTTTCTGCAGACAGAGCTATGATGGTTAAGGCCACAGCGCAGACACAATTATATGCTTGTATTGCTTATTTCACTTCCTCAAACCAGAATAAAATATATTGGCATAAGCACTTTTATACCAGTATGTAACAGGATCAGCTGTCTCCTTTGCGCCCCCTCATGGCCTGTATGTGTGCGCGCTGGGCCAGTGGGAAAACAGAGGGCTCTGCAATACCATACCACAATTTCCCCTTTTGTTTAGGGTCCCTTAAGAACGCCACACAGTCCAAAGACGGAAGACAAAAGTCCCTTGCTGAGGTTCTACTTTGAGTCCAAATACACTGAAAAATAAAGTCTCTTCCGTCCAGACCTCAGCTGGGCCCTGCCCCTCCCCCCTGAGGGACTGTCTCATCCTGCTCAGTACACAGCCCAAGCCAGGGAAGCTAATGATCCAACCAGCTGATCAAATTCGGTGATGAGTCCGCCCGAGGCACCTTGTGCATACGCTAAGATCCTGCTCCCTGAGCAGCTGGAGCAGACACAAGGCCCGGCCTGCCTTCTCCCTCCTTTCTGCTCCAACCTCTGGCTCTCAGGCAGACCTAGCGCTGGGTGGGCATAAGCAGACTAAGCAATTGCTTAGGGCCCCGAGCAGCTCAAGGGGGGGCCCTTTATTTACTTTTTTAGTATGTGTTGTGTGTTTGGGGGCGGGGCAAAAATATTCTTGCTTAGGGCACCTGATGGGCTAGCATTGCTCTACACTGGGATAAATGACCCGCAGCATGGCCTGGGTGGTATATAGACATACCCTCATTCTCCTCTCTCCTTGAGTAAGGAGCCCCTAGCCCTCCTTCCCAGAGCTGGCTTATAATCAAACAGACCCTTATTATTCCCTCCAGGAGCCAGTCTTGCTTTCTCAGGCCAGCGTCCTGAGTGGTTTTCTCAGCCCTGCCTAGCTGGAGTGTTTGGCTCCCACACAACTTTCCTTCCCCAGAGACTAGCCAGGAATCGGTCTTTCCTCCCTTATGTCCCCAGCCTAGCCTGAGCTAATCACACAGCCACATTACTTCCTCATGGACTATTCCCCACCTGAGGAGGTGAGCTGATCCTGGCACAGGTGGGGCCTCAGCCCCGTCTCCTCTTAAAAGGGACCAGCCACCCTGTATTTTTGCTGCTTTAAGTATACCGGCATAATTAAGTGTCAAAACTATTAAACATAGACAAGGCACGAGGTAGTGGTTTTCTGCCCTGAGACCTCCCTTTGTCATTAAGACACACAAATCAGGATGGTTTCAGACACTATACAGGCCTCGTCTACAAGAGAAACTGGCACCAGTTTAACCTAAAGTGTGAATTTAAACTGATTTTGTTAAACTGGTGCAACTAATGGCTTTTTTTGTTTAGTTTAAATCAACTGAGAACAGGTTTAAATTAAACTGAAATAAGCCCTTTAAAGAGCTTGTCTACACAAGGTA